AACAGCCATGGGCACTATGGGCCAGTTAGTTAACATTACAAGCCCTGTACAATGGGAATAGACTAGTACAGGTTAAGGATTCCTGTATCCAAAATAACTTTAGGTGTTTATCTAAATAACTTTATCTAAATAACTTTAGATGTGTTTCAGACAGTGGATTATTCTGGATTTTGGAATATTCATATATACAAATTGATCTATGCTACAGATGAGACCCAAATCTAAATGCAAAATTCATAGATGTTTCATATACACCTTAGACATGTAGCCCGAAGGTAATTTCACATAATAGTTTTAGTAACTTGATTCACGGCACAAAAGTATGGAATTTTCCGCTTGTGGTATCGTGTCTCCACTTAAAATGTTTTGGATTTAGGAATGGCTCGGATTTCAGATTTGCAAGTGAGGGGTGCTCAGCCTGTGCCGACCTGCTTCAGAGAGTTGCTGTGAGGATGCAATGAGATGCTGCATACACTGCACTAATGCAGTGCTGGTGTGGACAGAGCACAAAACCTGACCTCATCGTTAACTGCAGTAACTGCTAACAACTCCCTATTATTCTACAAGGCTTAGAGTTCTCTCACAGCTGATTATTTTCTAAGTTTCTCCATCTCAGATGTCCTAATCTCCCTGTGGTACTCCCATCCAGCCCCGAGCTCAACTCCAGATTAATTTTTCTTTTTGATGGATTTGTACAACTAACAAATCCATATCAAGAGTTTGGAGGAGGGGCTGACGCTGTGACGTAGTGGGTAAAGCTGCGGCTTGCAGTGCCGGCATCCCATATGGGCGCCGGTTCAAGTCCTGGCTGCTCCACTTCCAATCCAGCTCTCTGCTATGTCCTGGGAGAGCGGTAGAAAATGGCCCAAGTCCTTGGGCCCCTGCACCTGCTTGGGAGACCCGGAAGAAGCTACTGGATCCTGGCTTCAGATTGGCACAGCTCTGGCCATTGCGGCCAACTGGGGAGTGAACCAGTGGATGGAAGACCTCTCTCTTTCTCTGCCTCTCCTTCTCAGTAGAGTAGAAATGGCTCTGACTACGGGAGAGGCATAGCCTTTTGAATCCTAACTGCTTCACCTAAAGAACTAAGATGTTGGATCTCAACAGAGTTCTCCCAGCACCTGCTGGAAGCTTCCACCTGTCCAAAGACACTCACACCCTCCACACAGCCCTGGTGGTCAGAGCAGTGCTGTTTGCTATGAACAAGTCCACACCCTGGCACCTGTCCCCATGCTCCCTGCTCTGTTGGTTCAGTGTCAAGAATCAGCTGGTGTCTACACTGCCCAGTGTCTCAGTAGACTGTAAATGGCTGACCCAGGCCTCTTGGAATAAAGAGGTTTGAATCGAAGGGAATCTCAGCTCTGGAAGAAAGGAAAATGAACTGAGAGCTCTGCTAAGAAAACTAGGACAAGCTCCTCCTTAGGGAGTCTCCAGGTACTGCTCAGCCGGCACGGAGCCTCCCGAGCCGTCAGACACGCCCCTGCCTGGTGCAAACACCTCCTGATGGAGCCGGCTGCCTGGCCCAGGGCGGTTCAGGCAGCAATGGCGAATTTTCAAACCACACAATTGCTGGTAGATTGGAACAACTGTTTGAAACACCATGCCAATCATTTAATTCATCTTTGGGGCCCCTTTTAAATGCAAAATATGCTAATATGTTGTCAGAGTGTCCAGCAGCAAAACCTGCTCCACGAAGGGCTGGGAGTGGAGCACGGGAGAATAATGGCCCATTTTCCCTCCAGTGAGGCAAGCAGGGCCGAAACCACAGGCTCAAGTGTTTCTTTGTGCTCCCTTCAGCTGCAGAAGGTATGATCACCCTCTGCAGATTCGGGGATAATGGGCTTTTTCTGCCCCAGCCCGAGGCCTGCCCCTGCAAAGTAAGATGTGTCCTTGAGATGGCTGTCACCTCCTTTTTGGGGAGCCGAGGACAATGGAGCAGGGAGTAGATGGGGGGGGGGCAAGAGCAGAGTTGAGAGCTAAGTGACTCTTAGGTGGCTGGTACATGCTGGCCCCTGACACATGGCGAATCCTGCTCTTTGCAGGACTCTCTCTTACCTGGATAAGGAGGAGGAGAAATTACAGACTGGGGTCACTCTCGGAGGTTTTTAGGCATGTTAGCTTCTCTATCAAACATTACACCCATTTTTGCCCCCAAACTAGGAGCTTCCCTTATTTCTTAAGGGATTCTGTGATATCATTAAATATTGAAGCTCCTGGGGTGGGTATTATGGTGCAATGGGTTAAGCACCTGCTCGGGGTGCCTGCGTTCTAGAGCAGAGTGCCTGGGATGGAGTTCTGCTCCTGCTTCTCATCCAGCTCCCTGCTAATGCACCCTGGGAGGCAGCAGGGGATGGCGCAAATGCTTGGGTCCCTGCCACGTACATGGGAGAGCTGGATGGAGTTCCTGGCTCCTGGCTTCAACCTGGCCCAGCCCTGGCTATTGCAGACATTTGAGGAGTGAACTAGCAGATGAGAGATTCTCTCCTCTCTCGCTCTTTCTATCTTGCTCTCTCTTTCTCTCTATCTCTCTCGCTCTCTCTTTCTCTCATACCCCGACTACTTAACAAGTGCATATGACTGGATACTATTCTGTATACACAGCACTGTGATTGTCACAGTGCCAGTGGTAGCTCACAAGGACAACCTTGGGATCTGGCCCTTTATAGCTGTCATTAATCGACCAACTACTACCTTCCAAGGACAGTTAAGTACTCAACATAAACATACACCTTGTCCTGGAAGAAATCCACATCCAAGCACGCTGAAAGTAAGGCAGGCATGGCAGCACGCCACCTATCTGAGTGGGAAAGCCAAAGGCAAACTACCCTGTCTGTGGCCCAGGGCTTGCAAACTGGCAGCAGGCACATGCAAGACATATCTCCTGCCTTGGTGTAAGGAAATCACGAACCAGCTATGCAGTGACGTGGCAATTTCTGCAGCAGTAGGGAACAGAAAGTGCTGGTGGTCTGTGTGTAGAGGTACCCCCAAGGCAGTTGGTATGTTGGGAGGCATGGCAGGTAGCACAGGACTCCCATACTCTCAAGATGCCCACCACCTAATCCTGGCACCTGCGACTATGTTCCCTGACACGGCAGCATGGACTGTGTGGATGGGATTACAAAAAAGATCTTGAGATGGGGAGATTATCCAGGCTTAGCCAGGAGTGCATAGCAGAATCACAGAGGTCCTTTTGGGCAAAGGAGCAGAACAGGAGAGGCGGGGTCAGGATGAAGCAGCTCGAGGGAGACTCGGCAGCCATCGCTGGCTCTGAAGGGGTTCTAAGTCAAGAGACCCAGGCAGCCTTTCGAAGCTGGAAAAGGCAAGGAAAGAGATTCTTCCCAAGTGTCTTTGGAAGGAACAGCCCTGCTGACACCCAGATCTGAGCTCAGGGGAACCCACTTGGCCCTGAACACTCCAGCACTGTGACATAACAAAACAGTGTTATTTTAATTCCCCAAGCGTGTGGTCATGAAGCAGCAGCCGCAGAAAATCAACACGGGAGGAGAAGCAGACAGAGATGGGAGCCGGGGGACCTGAACTGACCTTTTCTGAGCCTCTGCAAAACCAAAGCCCTGGGCCAGAGGCTCCACTATCCCTTCTGGTTCCGACGCTCTGGATTTTGGAGGAAGAAGGGCGTGGCCACTGTGCTCTATGGACTGGCAACCTGTCACAGGGCTGACAGATAGCAGCGTGCCCCATAGCATGCATGACCGGCAGAGGTTAAGGTCTCTGGGATGGTGATGAGGGTGGTTGGGAAGGGGGTGTGCAGCACATCGCTGGTGAGCACTCACCAGGCACCGTTTGTCCAAGGCACTGGGGAGTCAGTCCCTGACCTCAGGGGCTCAGATCAGGGGAGCAGCCGACGCTGCCATGACCTGAGTGCATCCCTCTGGAGTTCATGTGCTGGAGACCCAGACCCTAATTTCCTATGTGAATGGCATCCGGGAGGCAGGGGTCTTAGGAGGTACAGTGGGACTGGATGCCATCACAGGGGTGGGGCCCCCGTCACAGCATTGGTGGCCTTTTAATTAGGGGAGGAGGAGAGGCCCATACGGGCACCCTTGTTCTGTCTTGCTGCGTGATGTCCTCAGCTGTGTTCTGATGCAGCAAGAAAACCCTCGCCAGATGCCAACTGGCTGCTGGCACCACATCCTTGGGTTTCCCAGCTCCAAGACCCATGGGCTAAGTAAACTTCTTTCCTTTACAAACAGCCCAGTTTGTGATATTCAGTTACAGCAACAGAAAATGCACTGAGACCGTTGGCAGACCAACAAGTGCATTTCTGGTCTTTAGTGCTATGACCCTGGGAATGAGACCATGCATGCTTCTCTGGGGTGGTCCAGACTGGCCTTCCAGGGTCACAGCCAGGCAGGAAAGGGAAGGGGAAAGTAAACTTGTAAAGAAAAAACTGAGCTAATCAAAGTTAAAGAGAATTCTTTATGAAGGGGTCCTGAGGGTTTGAATGGATACATGGATTCATGGGCTCATTGGACAGCGCTGTATTGAAGCAGACAGTGTTCTAGGTACCAGGGAGAGAGCAGTGAACAAGACAGACAAGGTTCCTACAGCACAGGGCGTCTGAGGAATCTGACAGTCCAAAAGTAAACAGCTAAATATGATCTCGGGATGCCAGAGCAGGTAAGGGGATGGGTGGCAAGGACAGTGGGGGTGTGGGAGGACTGCTCTGAGGAGCAGGGACCAACATGGGGCCTGAATCACGTGCAGCGCTCCCCCAACACCCCTGTGTCACAGAGCATCTTGTACGACTGCTCTGAGTGCACTTCAGGAAAGGCTGCACGGACGCCACTGTTGTGGCAGGATGCTGGCGTCTTCACACTCCAACCAGACCTGGGTCCTCATGTCAGGACAAGCACGTTGGGTCTCACAAATGCCAGGCAAGGTATTCTGCAAAGGAGCCCCCTCAGTGCCCATCAGGCCATGGGAGTGCCTGGGCGGTCTCTGTCCAACTAACTTTAGGCTTGGCGAAGCATGGTACCCACCGTCCTGGGCCTCCCTGGACTCACCCTGCTTCTGTGGGGCTCACGAAGCTGGAGAGGACGTGGAACCCAGCCTTAGGTGACAGGTCTCGATGCAGACTACTTTTTCACAGGTTGGTGGAAGCCTGGAGACAGAGCCCAGTGGGATGTTCCATTGTAAAGAGAATGTATTTATGGGGTCGGTGTGTGGCGTAGCGGGTAAAGCCACTGCTTGTGGCACTGGCATCCCATATGGGTGCTGGTTCCAGTTCTGGCTGCTCTACTTCTGTTGTAGCTCTCTGCTATGGCCTGGGAAAGCAGTGGAAGATGGCCCAAGTCCTTGGGTCCCTGCACCCACGTGGGAAACCTGGAAGAAGCTCCTGGCTCTTGGCTTTGGATTGGCGCAGCTCTGGCCGTTGTGGCCATCTGGGAAATAAACGAGTGGAAGACCCCCGTTTCTGTTTCTTTCTCTCTCTCTCTCTCTCTTTGCCTCTCTGTGGCTCTGCCTTTTGGATAAATAAATAATCTTAAAAAAAAAAAAAAAAGAGCACGTATTTATCCTAAGCATGTAACCCACAGATGGTGACCAAGGGCCGTGTTTCTGGGAATCTTTACCCAAGTCTTAATTAAGGAATCAACTCTGCATCTGAAGACCAGAAACACGACTTGGGAAGCTGAGGCAGGGTCCACCGTGTCTTCACGGAAAGTGTACATCCTGGGAGGGCTACTAACGCTTGCCCCAGGACTCGCGGTGAGCTGGCCAGAAAATGAACCACCTGTCCCTGCCATGCCCTTTCCTGTCTGGTGGAGGCTGTCTGGACTTCCTCACAGCCCAAATTAGATGAGGCGCATTACGTATGCAGGTCCTGGCGCTGCAAGCCTTGCAGCCCAGGCTCCTGCGGGAAAGCCTTTCAGGGAGCAGCCCCAGCCTGCACACACCGCCGGCTTTGCCTGTGCCCTTGGGTCTCTCCGAGAGCCTGGGATGGGGCCTCGCCCGGCAGGAGGTGACACAGTCAGCTCCCTGCCTTCCCTTGGTGGGAGGATGGTGCAGGGACAGACAGAGCAGCGTGTTGGAGAGCTGCACTGTTTCTGGGTGCCTGCTTCCCGGGAGCCGAGAGATGAGTGCTGGACCCAATGCCAGGCGGCTCCTTTGTTTGGGAGCACGCCCTGCCCCCATCACCCAGTGCTCCCCAGTTATCTTAGCTCAGCTCTGCACACGTCCTCTGGGAAGCTGTCTCCACTGGGGCGAGAACCGCCATGTTGGTTCTTTGCGCACATCCTGCCTCTTGGCATGAACACCTGAGATGCTGGCCTCTCCTTGAACAAACCACTCCCTGGCCTTGGTTCCTGCCAGGTGGCAATTGACGAGCTGCTCTCTGAGGTCCCTCCGCATTCCCACCCTCGGGCTTTCCCTCTCCAAACCAATGGCCAAGCTGGTGGCAGAGAGCCAAGCAGAGGTCTGAACCCTGGGGAAATCCCTTCCCTCTCAGGGTTGCATTTACCCAGCAGGGAAAGGGTCAGGCCGGGTGAACCTCCACATTGCCTCCTAAGCCCTTTAAAGGCATGCACCCTCTTTACAAACTGCAATCTAACACCTGAACCAGCTAAGAGTGGGACTAGGAGGGAGGGCCCGGGGACACACTCCCCCAACAGTGCTCCCTGTTTGAAATCCTTCCTGTAGACGGGAAGTGGGGGCTCCAAACCCGAGCCCAGGGGTCCAGTTTCTGCACCCTGGCTGCTCCCACCTCGTCACCACTCAGTACCTGCAGTCTGTGGGGTCCCAGGGTCTTCTTTGAGAAGTGTCCAAAGGGCACAAGGGTTTGCCTGCCCCTCCTTATTTTTCAAAATTCTTGATTTCAAACATTGCTCCATAAGCACTGGGAATCGACACGGCAGGGGAGGAGACGCCAATGAATTAATTCATTTCCAAATCATTGAAGTAAGAGCCCCAAGCGCTGACACAAAGGATGTAGTGGACTCCCGGCTCACAGAGCAGGCAGGGACGCCCAGGGATGTCCCAGTCTTCAGCTCGTTCCCGGTCACCTTCGTCCCACCTCAGTGCCCGCAGAGCTCTCCTTCCTACCCCTGCAGGGCTGGGCAGCAAATCAAGCAGGCTGGCAGCCGGTCCCCAGGAGTCCCCAGGAGCCAAGGACTTCTGTCTCCTGCTGAGCCAGCCGCCCCTCCTCCGGAATTCACAATCCACCCGAGCTTTTTTCTACTGTCCCTGACAGCCAGGTGGGAACGGCTGAGCGGCTTTCCCCTGTATTTCTTTACTTTCTAAAACCTTCGGACTTCATTGGTCTCTGCTGGGTGAGCGAGACGTTTTAGGAGGAGGAAAAAGCACTCTTGCTTCCTCCGTGTCAAGGAGACACAGAAACCCCAGGAAGAGAACCTCTGGCAGGAGGCTCCCAAGGGATGGGTCTTTGCAGGCCACTGACCACATGGCTGATTGGGAAGCCCAAGCCGCTGACCTTTTGGAACCTGAAGCAGCTGATTTTTTTTCAAGGCTTCTAAAGCCATCTCTTGGAGTTGGAACCTCCGAGCTTCTTCAGCTGATAAAAATGCATTAAATTTGTAGTCATCGGCTACCCCAAGGGCACCCCACTCTTAGCCCCATTGTCTGCTGACAACTCTCCTTATCAACCCCAAGACAGCAGCAGAACCTACGGTGCCATCCAGCCCCTCCTTCTCCCCACCCTGCTCCCGCCCCCTTGTCCTGTTCAGCCCTCCAGCGACAGACACAGCAAGTTAGAAGCAGTGGGGGGGGGGGGGGTTGGTGGAGAGGTGGGGGAGAAGAGGCAGGTGCTATTTATAATTCAGCAGCATTCACCCTCAGAACACAGCCATTTTTTCCAGGCTGCGTGCCAGGACCCCACATTCCCCAGCCTCTATATATGGGCCTTGCCACAGGCCCATGCCACCACATCCTGGCCTCCGAGAGGCCCACGGCAGCCTGGCCAATCCAGAAAGAAAGAGCAGCCCTGCTCCTCCAGCGCCAGTCCCCAGCCTAGCCTTGGTCTGTGGGGTGCTCTGAGAGAGGTGAGAAGATATGAGACCTTTGGGGTCCTGGCCCAACAGGGCTTGGGCAGCAAACGGCTCGGGCTCCAGGGTTTGGATAAGAATGGGAAGGAAAAAATGTTTTCTTGCTCTAAAACATTAGCTCACCCCTTCTTTTTGCCAAGTGGCTTTCAATTGTTTCCATCATGGTGTGACTGAGGTCCCTACAGCCTCGCCAGCCCCCGAGGGCTCGGAAAGCTGGATTGATTGATGGCCGCCCTTCTGCAGGCAGATGGGAGGGAAGCTGGGGAGGATGGGTAGGCTTGCCGAGGCAAGGGCGCCGGGCTTTGGCCAAGCAGGTTTGTTTTTTTCTGCAGGCCCTCTGCTGTGCTTAGCACACATGCAGGCATGAGAGAGGAAGGTGTCCGGCCTCTGGCGGGCATTTGGATTAAGCACCTCCCTGCCTTATGGAAGCCAAGTCTGGAGGCCCAGGAAGGGCCCATCCTGGGGAGGTGCTCACTCGACTGGATTCTCATCCCTGTCCTGTCTGTGTCGATGCCCTTGGGGCTAGGCAGGGGACCTAGACACTCCCCTCCAATTTCAAGTGCGCAATCTTACTTAGGTTTCTTGGGCAGTGTTTCGAAACCTCCTTAAGAATAGTTGGTAGTGGACACAGCTGTGTACTATTCTGGCTGCTCAAACTGTTCTGACAGATGCTCTCTTTCCTAGGTCTCTGATCACCTTCTCCACTTTTCAAATCAAGTTCAAGTCCTTCCCCTAAACAGCCTTGTGTGCCTCTAGACGTCTCATCCTTAGAAAGGAGGGCATTGAGTATGAGTATGCACACCAAGGAATGGTTTGGGCAGACTCCCCCAGGTGTCCGTGAAATGAGAGTGATTTTGTAGGCGAGGTGCAGAGAGGTTAGGCAGCACTCCAGGGTCACACCACAGGTAAGAGCACTTCCCAAGTGGGTCCAACTCCTTGCTCCCAAACTCTGTGTGGCAGGTGCAGCTCCTCTCACTCAGACCCGTGGTCTTCCTTGTTGCTTTGTATCTGATGACTGCAGCTTCTCCTGCACTGGCCTCCTGTCTGTTCAGATGGCCCCCAAAGGTCCCAGCAGGTGGAGGCCATGATTTACACATCTTGCCTCTGCCCTTTCTTCTCCCTTGGGAATCTATAAGAAACTAGGGCCACAGGAAAATCTTCACTTATGCTGTGGATCTTGGACCATGGGCACCTCCTTAGTAGGAGCGCCCTGCAGCCTCCGTCTGATTCCTGACCCTCTCTCTGGACCCTGTGTGGCTGTAGAGACCCTCTGTCAGCAGCCACCATCCCACCCCTGCAGAGGTCCTGGTTGCCCTACAGTTACAGTTTGCTTGTGACGAACATGGGGACTGGTGCTTCAGCACCAAGAGCACCAGCAGGAGTTGATCAATTCCTAAGCAACGAAGATCCTGTTTTCATGCAAACGTCCTCGGCATTAAAACAAAAACAAATTCCTCACGGGGCGCGGCCTGGATGCCAAGTCTCCTTGCAAGACACATTTTTTAAAGCAAGGTTTTGCGCCTGTGCAGGAGATGAATAGGGGCTGGGAGGGGAGCTGTGTGCTAAGAGCTGTCTCGATAAGCTCTCGCTGAACCCTGGAGCCAGCCTCCTGCTAGCCACGGAGGCCTCACGACCTGCCAGATAAGGAGACAGGCAGAGGGAAGTGGGGAAGACTGCCGTGCACCCAGCAGCTGGCAAATGGTGGCAAGGGGATGTGCTCCCCTCCAGCAGAAGCTGGGTTGTGTCTGACACCCACACAGGCATCCAGTGTGACTGTGTGCACCTTACAGAGACGAAGCGTGTGACCCAGGGTGTCTCAGAGGATGGCAGACAAAGCCTTGTTTCATCCTTCTTGGGCTTTTCCCATCTCCAAACAGAAGGATGGCACTGAGAACCACTTCACTACAACACATCCAGTGTGGATGAGTATCTGGATGGAAATGATGGTGCCAAGTACTCAGGATTGCCTCCGATACACGTCCCTCTCAACAGGATCCCAGATTCCTTGCTTCAGAGGCCAACAGCAAATAAAAAGAGGGTGATGCTAAGAGATGTTACTAGGTAGGGTGGCAACAAGGTCCTGAGAGCTCTGAAAGGCGGGTAG